AAGACCCAAGTAGCACCTAAAACCTGTAAAGTCTGAAGTATGCATGATTTATGAGTGTTAATCACTGTATATGAGCTCCCACTCTCTTTAAGAAAGTCCAAATATGCAATCACTGTGGTTTCAGTCGCTTCAGTGGCACAGCATGATCGTCCAATAGTCCAAACAAGGAATTTGCGCCATGCATACAAATACTGCTTCTGAGTTCCCGGTCGCCAGCTGGAACAGATGACATTAATGACTGAGTCCTGAAGTCCCTGATGTTTGAAGGCACTCATGATACTTTGCAGGCGGTGATTATCAGCCGTCTCCGAAGTGGGTGGAACTGGGTCAGGTCGTGTGAAGCCACCAGGAGATCGCTGTGACGTGGAAGCCTAACAGGAAAACCAATAAGAGCATCAATCAACAAAGGGAACCAAGATGTTGTTCTCCATAATGGAGCAATAATAATAGCTCTTAGAGCTCTATCCCTCCGAATTTTCATCAACACCCTACTTCAGGGGTGTCAAACTCCTGTCCTCGAGGGCCGCTATCCTGCATGTTTTAGAGGTTTTCTTGCTCCAACACACCAGATTTTGATCGCTGGGTAATTAACAGGCTTCTGCCCAATTTGAAGAGTTAATTCAATCACTGAATCAGGTGTGTTGGAGCTGGAAAACCTCTAAAACATGCAGGATAGYGGCCCTCGAGGACTGGAGTTTGACACCCCTGCCCTACTTCATACAGAAAGGTGGAAAGATGTATGGCTGATGATTTGTCCAGGAAATGGAGAAAGCATCACATGCACAGGCCCCAGGTTCAAACCTCCAAGACACAAATTTATCAAGTTGAGAATTGTGCCTATTAGCAAACAAATCTATGTCTGGGAGAAAAAACTGACAAAGAATTCTAGAAAATATCTCAGGTTTTAGTTTCCGATCTGAACCATCTGAAAACACTTTAGATAGTGTGTCTGCCACTGAGTTGTGTTGTGCACATTCTGTGCAGTAATAAAAATGTTTCTGTCCATGCACCAATTCCAGATTTGTGCAGCCAGGTTATCCAACTCTTCTGAGGCCATGCCTCCCATGTCATTAATGTAAGCCACTGCAGCTGTACTGTCAGATTGAATGCATACATGAATATCACAAGACTGACTGAAAAAAGCTTTAAGACAGAGAAACACACTGAACAATTCCAGAAAATTTATGTGTTTGTGGGACTCTGATGTAAACCAACGCCCGCCTGTTTTATTGTTATCAAACACACCACCCCAGCCTTCCATGCTGGCATCTGTCTGAATCCAGGCTGAAATATCTGCTTGTTGGATTAATTTGCCATTGTGAACCTTTATGTTATTCACCCACCAGTTGACCTCAGCCACAGTAGAGGATGACAAACTAATATTCATATCAAAATCATTACCTAAAGCCAGAGCCTGAATTTTTCCCGCTCCATATGTCTGTAGTGTAATGGACCAGGTAGCACTGCTGTGAATGTGTGGATAATCATACCAATAAATCTGGCAAGCAGCCTAATTGTAATCTTGTCTGCTGTAGGTATGACGTGAGCCTCTGTCAAAATGGCATCTATCCGTTTGTCAACCAGATACACTCTGAAAGTTACAGAGTCAATAACAAAACCAAAAAACACTATCTTATTAGTGGGAACCTGAACAGACTTCTCAAAATTGATATAAAATCCTAGCTTTTCCAACTTTGTAACCATAAGCTGAGTCTGGGCAACACTCTGCGATAACACCTGATTCATGATCAACGAATCATCACTATAAAAAGTGCAACGGATGTCTTGTTGTCTGAACCAAGCAAACACTGCTTTAATTACTTTTGTAAACACCCGAGGTGCTGAGCTAATGCCAAATGGTAACACCTGATGTTCATGCAGAATGTCCCTCCAATAAAATCTGAGGTATTTTCTGAAGTCTGCCTGAATCGGAATGCTAAAATATGCATCACATAAATCCAGAGATGTGAAATAATCATTCTCTTGGATAATGTCTAGTAGTTGAGAAAACAGCTCCATCTTGAAATGCTCATATCTAACAAATTTGTTTAGCCCCTTTGGCTATCATGTTCTGAATCTCCAGATCACGCAGATCTGACTCATWCTCTGAAAACTGAATTTCTGATGGTATTAACAGCTGAAGTGGTTCAGTGACAAAGTCTATTTTATGGCCCAAAACAGAGTTCAAAACCCACTGATCTGCTGTAATGCTTTCCCATTCTCTTATACAATAGGCTAGTTTACCAGCAGTCAYGTGTGTGGTCCACTGACCTGTTTGTCAATCACGCTCAGGGGGTTTGCCAGCCTGTCCCCTCTGATCCATGGTGTCTCCCATCTCGAAGCTGGTGTAGGCTCCTCTCTGGGACCTTCGTCGGGAGTACGGTCCCCTCCAAATCTGGCGCCGGCCTCTCACGCTTCCTCTAGCAGTCTGGAAAGCATTATACTTGCTGTTGTTGTACCTCCCAGGAACGCCCATGTGAGGATAACCAACAGACACCTTAGCCAGTTCATTTATCTCTTTGATCCGCTTGACCAAGTCATCACCAAACAATTTAGCTGAAATTGGCATGTCGATGGAACACAAAGAAGTGTATTTTCCTTGTAATCTTGGCCRGATTAAATAACGTTGTCTCATCGACAGTGAGTGCATAGTATGCCCTAACAGGCTAATAGCATCAGACAACAACATCTTGCACTGAACTCTCTGCGCCACCGGCAGATAAGCCATGAATGAGGCCAAACGCAGTACAGGAACCATCCCAGCGACCAATGTCTGCTGTAATTTCTGAAAACCCAAATCAGACTGCTGGACCCTTTTATGCAGCTGCGTCCAAATTTCCTCATTAACTTTGGGTGCCAAAAGAAAATTGCAGTTATTGGGATGAGGGTATTTATCAGTAAGACTCTTCACCGAGTCCYCACTTATTCTTTTTATACATCCCAAATCCACAATAGAGGCAAAATTATTAGCTATAGCAGGTCCAGTTTTCACCTCTGAGTCAGGCTGTGGAATACTCCACACCTCCTCTGGATCTCCATCCGGATTCTCAGCAAACACTGAGGGATCAAAATAAGATGGAGCCTGAGAGCCATCCTGCTCGCCTGCACTTGCAGTGTCTGGCACCTCCCAGCTATCATCATTATAGGCTGGATCAATTAAATCAGACAAATCCTCTGTATTAGGTCCTCTAACAGAACTTYTAGACTGAKAATTTCGTGCCAAAGTAGCAACCGTGCTCATCAACRACGAGAGCTGAGACATCAGCTGATTAAGTCCAAGCYGTGATTTCAACTCACTTATATTCAGATCAGCCTTGTGTTTCACGTTAACAACATYACTGTTGTGCCGAACCGGCTGCCGTCGCCGGAAGTAGTTCAGAGCTAACACGGCTCCCTCTTTTACCAAGACTTAGCTTAGCTTTCTTTGCCTGCGCCACAGGTTGCGGACCACTGGAAGCCTGACGCTTCGGTCGGTCAATCTGACCAGACACAAGAGTACACTCACTCTGAGTTCGAAAAGGCGAAAAGCCCCGAAAACTACCTCCATTGTCCGAATCTGATCCAAACAGATCAAGCACGTCCGCTCGAGTCCGAGACGGGCCGGCTTCACACTCATCATCACTCATGTCGAGACTACGTCTCCACCAATATCAATGAATCGCCACCAAACGTCACTGTAAAAGAAAGAGACAGCGTCTCAATCACATATCAAATCCACCACTGCGTGGTGCCGTGACAACAATACTTACCTCTCGCTCTCCTCTCAAACGAAAAGTGAAGGAGGCCAGGCTAGGGTGCCTACTTATGGGGTCGCTAGGCATCAWGGGTAATTGCCCCTTTGAATAAGAGACCTCGCTCTCACAATAACTCAAATGATGCTGTTTACATCTCTGAGACRAAGGCRAACGTAAATGAAAAATAATCCCAACATTCCAGCACTTCAAATGGAAGCAAGCTGGTGAACAACACAGAAAAACAAATTTAGCACAAATACTAAACTTATGCAGAAAAACACACTGCATATGTCTTTGAACTCGTTTAGGATATTATGTTAATGTGACTTACATCCACAATAAAATGCAATTAAACTTTTCTTTTGTTCTCTGACTAGTTCGTAAATTGCATTTTAAAAAGACCTCACTTTGTATGGAATGCTCATGTGTGAAACATCAACATTAGCAATAAAACATAAATAATTTTATGTGCACACATAACAGGAATTAGTTTACATGGGGTAAAAACAACATGACTTTTGTACAGTGGCATCATTTTGTGATCCAATGAGCTCACACTGTGCAATAATCATACAGTCACACAAAACCACCTGGGGTACAAATAGACCTTGACCTGCTTTACTTCTATTAAAACACACAAGTGTATAACTAAACTCATATTTTGTATCTTACAGAAGTAAACATAGGAATAAGGCAAGACTTACAAATGTAATTTTTAAGAATAAACAGCAAAATTTGAATTTTTGAGCAAATAAACAAGCACATACGCAATACCTGCAGCTCTCCTTTCTAGCGCCAGCTTTTCATCATGTTTCTAATACCCTGTTKTTACATGCAGTCAGTAAGTAGCACAGGCACAATGCATCTCTTAAAGATATTTAAATATAGATTTATCACACTTAAAACTGATGCTTTACAAAGTTATGTGGCACCGAACTAAATCCCTCCTCAATTAATCCCCTTTAAGTCACATTAAAGCTTGCCTGTGACCGAGTGATGCCACTCTCCTCTCTCTCCATCAAAACCTATTCTCCCTGACGACTGCTGACTGCTGTGTTCTTCCACATGGAAGCAGGACAGAAAAAAGGCTGAATATAACAAGAGYGAGAAAAATGAAAACAAAAGACAATGCTGGAGAGGGAGCTCATTAAAGACTTCAGACAAGAAAAAAAAAAGTAAAAGGATGGAAGCTCCCAGAAGTAAAAGTGATAAGTAACGTCCAAAAAGCGTCTATCATAAGATTAACCTAGGCAATTTAAAAACACTTTTSACTTCACCATAAATTAATCAAATAAATAACTTTCATTAAGGTTTTGTAAAAAAATAATCTAAAACATAAAAAAGATAAAAACAAATGAGTGTCTAGATGAAAAGTAAAAGCGAGCAAGTGTAAGGAAAAAAAAACTGATTAAAATTCATTCCAAATGCTGTATGAAAGGCAAATGAACAAAAGATAAACAGAGGTAGGCATTCAGATTAAGGGTTGATAAGCAAATCTGCTATATATTTCTCTGAACAGGTCATAAATAGAAAAAGGAACAAAAGAGTCAGAGTGTTAAAAAAAGAAGCTACTCTGAATCCCCACGTGTCTGACAGTGCAATGGATGATTTATGGTGAGCATTGTCCAGCAATGTAATTGGCCGCCATGTTGGACTTCTAGTGTGAGAATGAGAGCATGAGAGACATGGACATGTCTCAAGACTATTGTGAACTATACCCCAAAAGCCGCAAAGTGTGTGATGAAGAGAAATGATCAAAGAAAGAACAAATAAAATACAGTGGGAAACAAACCGATTTCTAAAATCCATATTAGACTTAACAAATCATTAAAGACTTTTAGCTCAACAATGACTTAAACTCTTAAATGTGCACTTCTTGTTAATTTAAATGGTTGCAGGCAAGGCAACAAACCAGCTGAGTTCATGAGTAACAACATTTCCCATGTGCCCAGCACCACTGCTGCAGCTTTTCACTTTATTGATTGATGAATAATCAACCATTAGATCACTGCTGACAAATCAAAATGAGACATTGCTGCTGCGCAGTGAGTTAAGATGATGATGTTAAGCTGATAACTGGGAGTGAACACACACAAAGGAACAATCATTTTAACATAGCAGTCAAGTATAAAGTAACAATTAGCACATGATTTAGGTCAGTCCACACCAAGTACAACACCTCAATAACAGAGACAACAGTAAACTGAGTACAGAGTTTACAATTGTAATTCATTTTTTATTTATTAACAGTGTGATCATTTAAAGGGGACAGTAGTAGCCTAAAGAACAGACTCCAGAAGTCCAATAAGCAAAGACCACTAGGAAGCATATCACAATAATTTTGATGCCTTCAAATGTATATATGTTTTGCCTACCATATTTAACTGCACCTTTTTCAGTGGCATATTGCAGACTGTTTCCTCAACAAATAGGAGCAAAAAGGAGCCAGAAATAACAATAATATGATACATAATTTTGCTTTTGTGCTCGTTTACAGTTAATATTAGCATGCCATTAWGAAAACTATGCAAAACAGACTGTGACCTATTTTAAAATATTAGCACATTTGACTTTATTTATTTATTTTTATCCAGACAGTGTATATTTTACACAAATGAGCGACCATTTTCAAAAATCACATTTCACATTTTGTTCAATTTTGCAAAATAGCTCTTCATGTAAGAAAATAAATTGGGGATACTGAATCACCTACTTATTCAAGTGGGCAGCCATGTTTGAAGTTTTGAAGTCAGCTTGTGTTATGTTGCTCTGATGTGAAAATGGGTATTGTTAAGAGCGTTATTTGGTTTGCTGTTTAACTGATTCGGTCTTTGAGAAAAGACATCAAAGCGTCCAGTGTCTCTTTTATCTTTCCATCCTGAAACGGGTTTAATGCACGCACACGACACAACACACCCACCTCCGCTGAATAAAGGAAGAAGACCAGAGTACTGTTAGTGCAACGAGAGAAACTTTGGACTGTCTAGTTGTCCTTCTCATGCAGCTTCATCATTGTCATCACTCACTTCTGTCGTCCCTTTTCTCTCCTCAGTTCCAGTCAGAACTAGAACTCAGCAAAGAAAAGTTGTTCTCCCCAGTTTCTGTGTGAGAGGACAATTCCAATAACTTCACTTTTTAATGAGAGTCTTCCTACTGCTCTTTCTTCAAATACATCTCCTTTTATTCTTCCAGCTTGCTGGTAGGGAGCATTTGTGTGTGTATGTGTGTTGAATGTTTAATTGTTTGAGGAGGAAACGAACAAAAGATGAAGATATGCTGTGTGACTGTGGCAGCCCAACGTCTCCTGTTTTTGAGTGAACGCTGTGGTTCCCTATTCTCTGAACTATCTCAGTGCAGCCTGTCAACAGTTAGTCATCTGTGGAATAGAAAGATGAAAAACTATGATGTGTATACAATGGGTGTTAGGGCAAAAAAAGAAAATGAGGTAAATGTAAGAATGAAGTTACTGACTAAAAAAAGAACAACAACAAAAAAAGCCATGGAAGGAGAATATAAAAGACTGGATAGATGAKCAAATACCTTCAACTTAGCTTTAAATTAAAGCTGTGAATGTAGTGGCACAGCAATGGCTAACCATAAATGCCAGCATCCATGTAAACATATATGTACCCCAACAGCCTGAGGCAATGCTGCCAATCCACAAAACCCTTCTCACCAAACTGTTATCCCCTCAACCTTCTCCTCTCTAACAGTGATTTCCAAATCCTCCACTGATGTTGCATCATCACTGTGGTGTGTAAGATGACATCACAGAGTTTCCTTGAGGTATAGATTAGTGAGCACTACACACCAGGGATTGCCAAAGCTTCTTACAGCCCAAAGCTAYCAAGAAAATACTAATCTGAACAGTGGTTCTGCTGTTAAAAAGGTAAAATCTAAATGTGCACCATTTGGTAATCTTGGCCATTTCTTCAGGAAAAGGAGAAATCATTTTAAGGCTCTATTTAGAAGATGATTTTTACTCAATCAAAAACAGGTAATATGTACAGTAATATGTAAAACACATAATCAAAGAGCTCAGGTTCAAACTTCTGTCTAAACAGAAATAAAACCAGCTTAAACTTTTTTTGCCAGAAGCAGGTGCAGATGAACATTCATGAATAGACTGAGTATCACATTGTCTTTCTAACCACTATTGTGTGAGTGAGTTAGTGAGACGGCACTTGTGTGTGTGTACATGTGTGTGTGTGTGTGTGTGTGTGTGTGTGTGTGTGTGTGTGTGTGTGTGTG